GTCCCTGGCAGCAGCTCTCTGCAGGCGCCCGACCCCCGCGGCGGTTTCAGGCTTTTCTTGGCGGAGACGTGCGAACTTACTTTGTCTTGGCGAGGCTGTGAGGTGATGGGCCCCTGCCGGAGTGCCCGCGCGGAGGCGGCACAGTGAGCGTCCTCGGGTTCCCGCGCGGTCTGTGCCTCGCCCTGCACGCTTCGGCTCGACTCCACTGCAGGCTGTAGTCAGGTAAGGGCTGGAAGGAGGAAAGAAGGGGCGGGTGACCCTAGACCCCTTGCTCTGGTGTTATCTCCTGGGCAACAGCTGCTTCTCTGTCCCGTCCGACTTTGCTCGGGGCAGCTCCCCTCTTTCTGGGACCTGGGGGTGACTGCCTGTACTGCAGTCGGAGTGCACCCGAAGTTGAAAGCGGCGCTTCGAAGTAAGGATGTGTGGCTGGGGAGTAGTAGTGGCCGCTGCCAATTTTCGGGGTCTGGGTCTGTCATTCCGAGCCCCCCAAGGTGTTCCGCGGGTAGGAGGGCAGCCTCTTGGTATGGAGAGGAGGGCGAGGTCGCTTTGAGCTTTAGTTCTGGACATGCTGGTCTTGGAACTTCGTCCCCGCACCTGTGCGGGGCTCCTTACGGCCAGCAGGAGCAGCAGGTCAGCCTGGCACCTTGAAGCCCCGGCTGCCGGACTCTCGCTGGAAGGGCGCAGCCGGCTCTCAGGACGCGTCTTCCTCCAGGGAGTGCAGAGCTTCCCGCGCGAGCGCTGGAGAACTGGAGCGGGTCTGCAAGTTCAGTCTCTTCCCGCGCGAGACCCACCGGATTTGCCCACCAAGGTGGCGCCTCTGCTTCCTTTCCCTCATCTCCCTTTTCTTGCCTCGTTTGGTCTCGTCAATCCGTCCTTGGAAGACAGGGCATCCTTAACGTGGTAAAGCCCGATAGCCTGCACCTGGGGAAGTGCCCGAGCCCGACGCCGAACCGCTGGTGCGTTTTCCTCTTCAACCTGTGTCATTTAAGGTTTGGGGCTCCGTGGCCCCCCAAGAGCCTTAGCCACACTATAAATCAGCCTCTCATCCGTGTACGTAGGCGCAAGTTCGGAGACGGAGGCCATCATGTGCCCCCAGCTCCGCAGAGATTTAAGGACTCCCCCCGCCATGGGGAAACGTCCTTATATCCGAACTCATTTATTTCCCTTTTAACTTAAAAGGCCTTCCCTCCAAGACAGCAAGGCCGAAACGATGTGACAGGCGATCCCTGTGTGTGTGTGTGGGGCGGGGGGAGGTGGGCGGGGCGATGAGCGCTGCTGGGATGAAAGCTTTCAGAGCGCTGGTCCGACTCTTTCAGCAATCTCCTTGGTGCAGGGATTGTCTACAACACTCAGAAGCCCCCGTCTGCAGACTCAGACTCCCAAACTCCAACATTGTTTGTTAGTTTTCTGATTGCACAGCTCGGCTCCCTCTTGAACACTCACAGAGGGGAGACCGAGGTGGGGAACAATTTGTTTGTCTGTGAACCCAGTTCAGCCAGGGCTAGGATTTAAAAACAAAACTTTTTTTTTTTAAAGGCTAAAATAATTTAGGAACAGCCATTTTGCCATATTACCATTTTTCATTCAGTCATTTGAGAACAAGTGTATGACTTGAAGAATTCTACAGCTTGCCTGTGGGTTTCTCCGTGAGAAGGAGTCTACTAAGTTTGTAGTCATTAATCAGTGTGCAAGCCCACACATCCTCCAGATTGGAAAGAG